ACTACCTAGATGTGTTACCTTGGGCAAAGTAATTATAAGTATGTTCTATTATACCCTCAAGCTATATCATGAACTCACAAAAGTGGACAGAGAGGAGTGTAATTCACAGAAAAGTCTCAAGGTAATGCCACTCCAGTCATGTTTAGGAACTCTGTTGTTCCTGTTAGAAACTAGTATATAGCATTAACAGAGAAGTTAAAATATAAAAAGATTAAGTTTACTCATGCCCAAGATTACTGCTGTATTTGACAACAATGACCAAATAAATAAATAAATAAAAACCACACAAAAACACTTTTCAAGACAATTTTAAAGAAAAGTTAATAAATCTACTAGTTATTTTAACTGGAGTTTTACAAGCATGTAATACAAGGCAGGTGCAGCATTTATTCAGGCTAGTCAAACAATCTTTCAGAAAAAGCATGCTTAGAAGCACTGTTTACTTGTTTGGTAGAAAAAGACGGAAAGCTGTCACACAAAGCAAAATGGGAGGCTTACTATCTCCATGTCATTCTCCAGCATTTATATTGGGAAGAGGAATAGAGTGGTTTAAAGCAAACGATGCAGGCAAAATATAGAAATTAAATTAAACTGTAATTTAATTCCTTTCTAAAATGAATATATTAAATTAAAATGATGCAAAATTCAGTGCAAGGAGTGAGTGCACCAGCTGGAGAAGGTTAGGAAGGATGTGTTTACATTGGTATTAAATAAACACCATGTAACATGCTACACATACTGTACTTTGCATTAATGGTTAGCTTAAACAAAGAGATGCAGAGGAAAACAAACATCTACAACCAAAAATGACACAAAGAAACAGCACTGCAAAACTCAAAAAAGGGTTAGGAATCGAGGGTCAGGGACCTACCAACACAGAATTATCCAACAAGATCTCCTGCACAAAAACAAATGACAGACCGGTCATGACAAAACCAAAAGATAAATACTAGGATGACTTTGACAACAGTCAGCTAAGCATTAAAATATAATGTTGATAGCTATCATTCAAATTGGCTTAGCTTCAGCTTAAAAAATATGCCACAAATACTTTACTTTCCGACTTAACAAAATATGAGCTGAGCTAAGATCTTGAAAATACTCAAGAACTCCAAGATATAAAGATATAAAATATAATTTTAAAATGTATATTTGAATAATTAGGTTTTCCTTTGGAATTTCTGATTAAGCCTCAGTATCAAACCAGATCAAACAGGCATGAATGTGAGAGGAGTGATCTGGATTGTATTCATATGAACAGGTGCCCAGCAAGAGACAAAAGTTAATGGTTTACCTCATCAGAAGTTAATTATAGATTTTTTTTTTTTTTTTTTTTTAACTCTTGGAAGCCAAGTTTTAAAGCTAAGAGCACTCAGAATTGCTAGTGTAGCTAAGGGCAAGTTCAGAATGGAAGTTAAACAGCATGCAGTTAGAAAAAAATCCATTTCACTATGATTTTTTTTTTTTTGAGGCAGAGTCTGGCTCCGTTGCTGTGGCTAGAGTGCCGTGATGTCAGCCTAGCTCACAGCAACCTCCAACTCCTGGGCTCAAGTGATCCTCCTGCCTCAGCCTCCCGAGTAGCTGGGACTACAGGCATGCGCCACCATGCCTGGCTAATTTTTTCTATGTATATATTTTTAGTTGTCCAGATAATTTCTTTCTATTTTTAGTAGAGATGGGGTCTCGCTCTTGCTCAGGCTGGTCTCGAACTCCTGACCTTGAGCCATCCTCCCGCCTCGGCCTCCCAAAGTGCTAGGATTACAGGCGTGAGCCACTGCGCCCAGCCTAAGATTCTTGCCTAATTATGAAATGCAATTTCTTTGCTTTACGGAATACTCTAAAATATAATAAATTCAATCTAATAAATTAAGAATAAATTACTAACCAAAATATTAAGACACATAATTAACACACTATAGCGATAGTAATTTTGAATGTATTTTTATAGTAAAAATCATTTTACAGCTTAAATATTATCAGTAACATGAATAAGATTTGTAACTGTTATTTCTGATTTTCTCAATTGCTCTGACCGCACCTAAAGGAAAAATCTGATACATTCTTCTTTATATGTCCCTTTTTTGATCCGGGGAAGAAAAAAAATTAGTAAGTTTGACAGATCCTATTCACTATGAATTAGTGGTTAGTCTTGCTCTTCATTTCTCAATAAACTTTGATTGATAAATAAATTTATGTATTAGTTAAAGGAGAAATTTTAAAAGGCCATTAACAGAAATTTTCTACTACAATTCAGGAAGAAAAAAATGGCAGTATCACTATATTTAAATGGAGAGTAAAAGTTAGATCAACTTGCAAAGGAGTGAAAATTTTTTCAATAATTGTGGCAAGGGTTCTTCAAATATAAAGAGTAATATTCCTGGGCAAAATTCCTTGAATGGTATAGGTAAAAGCTTTTTCCTGTAAGTGCTATTTTCCCTAAGACAAAATTGATCAGGATCTAAAAAATACAGGAAGAAAAAGTTTTTCAGAAAAGTCAGAATCTTATTTTTAAAGTTTTGTATGACTATCAGTATCAATAATTAGTACAATGGTTAATACAGTGTATGTTTAAGATATATGTCAACACGATAAAAGCAACTACCATTATTAAGTGCTAATTAAGTGCCTAGGACATGTGCTTTTACATGCAGCACTTTGTGTAATCCTCGTGTTTTACAGACAAGGTAGCTGCAGCTGGAAGAGGTTATGGGACTTCCCTAGGGCACACAGCTAAGCCCTCAGCAGAGCTAACATCTATCCATAAAATCTACAAAGGCAGTATGGAATAATGACCTGAGGACTGAACGAGGAGCCCAGAAACCTGGTAGCTACCACTACCTAGATGTGTTACCTTGGGCAAAGTAATTGACTTTTTGGTCTTCAGTTTATCTTTTTATTGAGGAGATTGGTTTTAATTATGCAAACATCATTCTACAAAACCAAGGATAATTTATGTGACAGATTTTTAGATTTTGAGGTTCTTTCAAGCTCTGAAATACCGCATATTTTGCTTCAAGCTTGAAAATGGAAGGTCAGAAGTAATAATTCTTAATTGCCATGTTACTAACAGGAGGGTGCTGTGAACGTTGCAGGGGCAGAAAAGTTGAAAAGCAACTGTGTCAAGTTGTAATTCCAAATGCAACTCAGTTTTTGAGGCAAGGATAGAAATCCTTGACCCTCGAGGTAAATCTTAAAACCAATGACAATTACAAACCACTTCATCAAAACTTCTGGCTGATTGCCTTCACCTTTCTACATTCATTAAATACATTACTAGACCCCATATATTGTTGTACATGTTGCTAGAGTTTTAAGGAAAGGTGTTATTTCCCCATCTAGGATGGAAAGAATTTTATAATCATTTAGAATAGAGAAAGAAGAGGAAAAAAAATAGACAGGTGACCACATAAATTTTTGCATGTCCTACAGCATGTATATAGTAGTACCTGGGACATTATAAACACTCAATATGTGTTTACTGATTAATGAATCAATATTTCAGATATTCAGTTCAGCACTGATGTGAGAAAAATGAATCAATATGTGAGAGAGATAAGAAGTGATTACATGAGAGCTACCACCCCAAAGATTAGAACCTAGGAAAAACAGCAATATATGTAACACATAATTTTGTATAGTCTAGAGAATAACTAAAATGTGTATTAGAATAAATCTAAGTTTCAAATAAAAGAAACTAAAGACTTATTTATAATTCTATACTCACACAGAGGCAGCTAACCAGGCTAGACAAGTTGACATGCCGTGGAGCAAACATGTGAAGCTGCTGCAGGCAGGAGATGGCCTGTGCTTGAACGAGGCAGTTTGGGTTATCTTGCATCACTGCACAACCCAACAGACAGGAAGTTCGTAAGGTAGAAATTGAAGTACTATTACCTAAATTAAAAAGCAGAAAGCTTTTAATAAATGGCCTATAGAATCATTACTCTTTAAACATATATTACTGGGTTTTAAAATTTACTTTCAGTTTTAAACTTACAGATCTGTGAAGAACAATTTCTGCTAAAAAAGCAGGGATAATCTAGGTGCCAGATTTTAGAGTACTTTACTTATTCTTAATCTGAAAGGTTTATTACAACACAAATCATTAGACAAAGAAGAATCTAAGACTATGTGTAGGTTATATCTTATTTTCATGAAAAGTGGAATTAGAAATTGCCAATAAACTTAGCCCTGCTTGTATCAGCTAAGAGCTACTTTCATGTACTATTAATATAATCATATACTATGCAATTTGAACAGATCAGAATATTTGAGAATTCTGACTTAGTCATTTATTTCTTAAATAGAGATGGGAGCTCTTTATTCTATTTCATGTCTGTCATTTTAACTGTTAAGGAAAGCATTTTTAAGACATATCTAACCTTTCTGAATGTGGTATTCTTTGTCTTTTCAAGGCAAAGAGAAATCAGACTGAATGAAATTTACACATTCATTTAACAAAACATACTAAGCACCTACCATATGCCAAGCAAAAGAAACCAGGAACTGAATTCATTTTTATGTGTATATTTTTTCATGTAAAACATCACAAAAACAGCTGTGCATACCTTGTAGCTCTGGACCTAATGTGGTAATAAGTGCATTCAAGCAGCGACCAAGACTTTGGTGAACTTCAGCATGAGTAGGAGGCACATTTAACAACAACATTATAATAAGAGAAAGAGTAGGTTCCACATGCACATAATAGAGTGGGCCAGCAGAATCAATTATCAAGGACAGAGAATGTAATGCCCAGGTCTGTAAAGACAGAGAAAAACAATTAAACATATTATAGTAGCATTAAAATTAAGACACAAGAAATACCTTAAATTCTTCTTTCTTTGAAGCAAGTGATAAAGTAACGGCAAAGTAAAGTGTGTGTACACTACTACTAATTTGGAAAGAGAAACAGAGAACTTTAATAGTTTAAGAAAATTCTTCTACAGCTCACACCTGTAATCCTAGCACTCTGGGAGGTTAAGGCAGGAGGATCGCTTGAGCCCAGGAGTTTGAGACTGCAGTGAGCTACAATGATGCCACTGCACTCCACCTGGAGTGGAGACACAGAGCAAGACGCTGTCTCCCCCCAGAAATAAATAAATAAAAGAAAACTCTTCTTTTTAAATATTCAACTCATAAAACCAACTCAGAGACAACCATCAAATTTAGAATGGTATATTTAGATAAGAGCTCGGCACTAAGAATTCCAAGATAACATTTGGTACTTTAACTAACAGCTTGAATCAAATCTAGTTTGTTGAAAATTGTGTATTGTTTAATATATAGAAAGAATGAAAATTCAAATTTTTAAAAGGATTCAACAAAATCTACAACTACATGCAATAATATGGACAAATCTCTTGAACATAATTTTGAGTGAGGAAAGCCAGATACAAAATGAGTACATACTGTATGATTCCATTTATGTAAAGTATAAAAAGCAGGCAAGACTAATTTCTCCTGCTGCAAATTATTTCAGTGTTTATCATTGGTGGGGCAAGTAGTTAACTAGAAGACAGCACGAGTAGAGTGTATGGGGTATTGATAATGTACTATTTCTTAATTAAAGTGCTGGTTACATAGTGTATTCAGTTTGTAGAGATGTATACTTATGACAGGTACACTTTTATTTATATGTTAATATATAAATATATACTCTTAAATGAAACAAGACTGGCTATATACTGATAACCACTGAAGGTAGATGATAGGTATAATAGATTCATTACAGTATACATTCTACTTTTGTTTATGTTTGAATGTTCCATAACAGGAAGTAAATAAAAAGTTCTCCCTTTAGGAAATGAACTGAAAAAGTTTTATCCCTTTTATCAATGGATGTGTAAGAAAGCTTATAGTACGTTAAATGCTATAAAAATGAGCTCCTATTTGTTAGGTGAGAGACAGCAATCAAGAAGACTCAGAACTCATGACATTGGAAGCCATGGTTTAAATTAATCAACAAAAAGGTATTCAATATAAAACTATGTTCATTCAGAACAGACTTCTTGAAGGGAGAGAAGAGGAATATAACAGATGGAAGCAAAAAGTACTGTATTTAAAGACAGGTGAAAAACGGAAAACCTTGAGAAGGTTCATGGGTCAGCTGATGGGACTGGAATGAGAAGTTGATTAAAGAAGCAATAAGCAGGCTGGGCATAGTGGCTCACGATTATAATTTTAGCACTTTGAGAGACTCAGGTGGAAGGATATCTTGAGGTCAGGAGTTTGAGACCGGCCTGAGCAAGAGGGATACCCCACCTCTACAAAAAATAGAAAAATTAGCCTGGTGTGGTGGCATGCACCTGTAGTCTCAGCTACTCAAGTGGCTGAGGCAGGAGGATTGTTTGAGCCCAGGAATTTGAGGCTGCAATGAGCTATGATGATGCCACTGCACTCTACCCTGGGAGACAGAGCGAGATCCTGTCTCTACATACATACATATATACGTACATAAATAAAGAGTCAATAAGCAGCTGGGCATGGTAGCTCACACCTGTAATCCCAGCACTTTGGGAGGCCCAGGTGGGAGGATTGTTTGAGCCCAGAAGTTCAAGCCAAGTCAGGGCAACATAGAGAGATCCCATCTCTATAAAAATTTTTAAAAATTAGCTGGGGGTGGTGGTGTATGCCTGTAGTTCCAGCTACTCAGGAGGTTGAAGTGGGAGGATCGCTTGAGCCCAGAAGTTCAAGGCTACACTTAGCTATGACTGTGCCATGGAACTCCAGACAGGGTAAATCTTTTTTTTTTGTTTGTTTTTGTTTTTGAGACAGGATCTTCTGGCTTCAAGCTATCCTCCTGCCTTGGCTTCCCAAAGTGCTAGGATTACAGGCAAGAGCCACAGTGCCCAGCCAAGATGAAAATCTTTTGAGAAAATAAATTTGGCCTTATATCTAGAGGGAGTTGGAAAGAAAAGAACCTAAGAATAACATGACTAGTGAGGAGGCTACTATAGTAACCAGGCACATACTAACAAGGGGGACAGAGAGAGGATGAGATAGAGGGAGTAAAACAACAGGAGGAAGAAAAATCATGCCATATTTGATTAAGATATCAGGAGAATGATGAGTTTATTGGCAGAAATGGGTAAGATATATACAGCAATAAAGTGGTTGAGAACATGAATTTTGAGTTTACGACTTGTGTTCTTGAACTGATTCCATGATTCATTAGCTTTTCAGCTGTAAGCAAGTTACTTAGCTTTACTTAGCTTCCAAAAGCCTTAGTTTTAGTTCCCCATAATGGGACTACACACCCTAAATTACTGTGAGTATTAAATATGATAATATATTTAGAAGAATGTAATATAATGCCTAGCACCTATTAAGCTCTTTAAAGTCGTAAATGTTATTACTAAGATGGAAGGGAGATCCATTTTCATAAAAAGATACTGAACTTGACTTCAGACACTCCAAGTATGAAGTGAAGATAGATTTGAATTTTAAAAATCCATCAAGGTTAACAATGGCTTTGACATTTACTATGGGGGGAAATATTCACAAATTATTAATGGTCAATAAAAACAATCTGCATCATCTACAAATCATGAATTTCAAAGAAAGTAACACATGAGGTACTCACCTGCACATCAGGAGAAGTATTATCCTGAGACAAAGCATAAAGGATTCCAATGCAAGAATTCAAGTGTTGAGAAGAACTTATTCCTCCTAAATACCTGTGTAGGGACCCCAAAGCCAATGAGTGCCCTGTTCTGGTAACCACATCCCTTGCTGATTTCAATCTGTAGTTAAGAAAATAAAAATAAATGGTAATCATTGGGAAAAAAACTAATTTATGTACATCGTCACTTAAGCAAAACTTTTTACATGAACAGTCACAAAATTCAGAAATATATTACTGTTACCTGATAAAATTCTGAAATAGCCCAAAAGGTATCTTGTAAAGCAGCAGTCCCAACCTTTTTGGCACCAGGGACCAGTTTCATAGAAGACAATTTTTCCACAGATGGGGGTGGGGTGGAGCTCAGGTGGTGATGTGAGTGCTAGGGAGCGGCTTTTCTATGGATGGGGGAGTAGGCAGGAAGGGAGAGGACAGGCAGAGCTCAGGTGGTGACGTGAGGCCCAGTTCCTAACAGGACACTGACTGGTACCAGGCGCTGGGGACTGGAGTTGTAAAGGAAAACATTTTAAATAAAAATGTCTTCACACTACTAATGATTATTTTAGTATGGACAGTTTTAATGTGTTTCAGATACACACACACAAAGTTTATAAGATAGGTATTATTGTTACTTTATCATTAAGTTACATTTTAAAAACTCATGCTGAGATACTTTAATTTCATAGAAAGAGTTTTAACTCAAGAATTTTGATTTTAAAATTAAATATATTAATAAGTTAATATTTATTAGGAATTTTCCATGTACTGTGTTGCTAACTTAAATGCTTTACAGTTAATTGTTCTTTACAATCTTCCCAACAATCCTGTGGTTCATACTATTACCAGTTCCTTTTTTTCTTTTTTTTTTTTTTTTGAGACAGAGTCTCACTCTGTCGCCCCAGCTGGAGTGCAATGGCATCATCTGTAACCTCAAACCCCTGGGCTCAACTGATACTCCTGCCTCAGCCTCCCAAGTAGCTGGGACCACAGGCATGTGCCACCATGCCCAGCTAATTTTTTCATAGAGACATGGTCTCGCTCTTGTTCAGGCTGGTCTCAAACTCCTGAGCTCAAGCGATCCTCCCGCTTCAGCCTTCCAGGGTGCTAGGATCACAGGCATGAGCCACCACACCTGGCCTTTACCACTTCCTTTTTACAGACAAGACAACCAAAATGATAGCTAAAGCAACTCTCACAAAATAACCAACTATTAAATGACAGAATTGAGATTTGAGTCGAGTTAGTAATCTGATTCCGGAATTCAAACTCAACCAAACTGAACACCAATGTCCAGTAGACTGCAAGTTCAAAAGGCTGTATGTACTACTACCATGACTAATTTACTATATATTTATAACTAATATAACCATGAATTTTTT